TTACCCAGACCACCGTTATCTGCAGAATATTGATGCATATGTCCACACAGCTGCATTCAAAGTGCCATTTCAAATAAGTCACCCACAAATTAACAGATTGGCTTTCATGTTACTCAAACTACTTTTAATAGGAAATTACAGGGGTACTAAAATGACAGATCTACTCCTACAGAAGACAAATGAAAACGCATTCAAGCTGCGTGATAGTTTACTTACTTTGTGGTACCTGGTGAAATCCTGTCATTTAAAAAGTTGTATTTTAATATTTAACACAAAATAAAACCAGGGTTTTCCTTTAAAGGAAAAATGCACGGCTGAATATCACAGAGCTCTGTTGCCAGCTAGTGTTGCTATCAAAATTCCTCCAAATATTTCAATGGAAAATTTGCAATTTGAAATATGAAAAGTTAAACTTAAGTGAAAATATGAATAATGAATATGAAACTTAAATATGAAACTTAAATTTTGCTTGAACAGATGCAGAATGACAAGTTCTTGATGTGAGATTTACTAGACATGTTAAAAAGCTGTCCCACACTAGATGCAGATTTCACCAATGCTGATGTCCAGCCTCAGTTCTAATCTACATCCTTTCTTTGGTTGCTCTAAAATAACTGCCATTTAATTTTCAATAATCTTTCAAGCAGTAAGAACATGACAGCTAGCAGAGATCTGATTAGTCATTTCATCACTATAAATCTTAATTTGGACTGTTTTACATTCCTTTTACTATCAGTTTTTCAATCAAAGTTTTTAATTCTTTCAACATCTCTATAACCATGTGCTTGTTATCATTCTTTGGACCTTGAAATACAATGGATGTGATCAAATTTGGGCCACAGTCTGGACTAGGACTGGTTTCTATGGCTCAGGTTTCTTTCCTGTTGTCCTGTACTTCACTGTCTGACTGGGTCCTAACAAAGTGCAAGCCTTTGGAGAAGGGTAATTGCCCCCAGGGAAGTTAGGGCAGTCTGACCTCCTCCAATTATCCCCATCAAAGTGCTGTAGGGATTTTCAGACACGCACACATACATATGCTTTCAAAGTGTTTGTTCTGGAATTGATATACAGCAGAGTCAATAATTCTCAGGAATTCCTCCGACTTCTTTAAGACGGAGTCTACATCTACTTGCTATTTTTATTCAGTGTTTATCATTGTCACATGCTGCTATTTCACACACTCTTTCATCTACGATGGCCAGATAAATACCATCTGGTTATGTTAAAGCCTTCAGGCAGAATAATAAAGATGTAGATGTGTACATAACCGGCCTTCAGGTGCAAGAATGACAACAGTTCCCACGTTCCACGAGACCTGCCCCTTAACACCAGGCAAAGCTGGATGTGAACACATAGGACTTTCATTCAGAAGGGGGAAAACTAGGTTCTCCTTCTTTCTTCCCAAGCTTATTTCTACTTTTTACATAATGACAGCCCAGTAAAATAGTATCAACAGATCCTGCACATGAGTTTCTCCCCCTTCTTTTCCCTTTCAAGTAGTTCTTTGAGAATTCAACACCTGAGATGCATTTCAGCTGTGCTGCAGTGCCTATATGAATATTGGCATCTTATTCTAATGCCCGCAAATAAATACTGTCTGGCAGCATGGTCCTCCCTAAGCAGGACCATCACGTTCTGTCATTAATGATCTGGAGAAACCATCTTCAGTAGCGAGAGGGGAGAAATCTGTGGGAAATGGCTATTCTTTGGAAAGGCTGCCATGTACAGGACAAGCTTCCCCTGGAAACGTACCAAGATCTAAACTTGGTGGAATGAGAAGAAATGAATAATGAATAAATGGTAGGAAAAAAATTGCATCCATTGGTCGCAACTGGATGTGAAGCAATAGCAGAAAGTGACATCCCTGTCTCAAACTAATCTAATCTTAGTCCCTGTCTAAGACTAATCAAATTTGATGTCTCCTAAAACAAACAACTTGCAGCTGGAAAGTGCCGACAAAACATTAAAATGCATAAATAGTAACAAAAAGTTCAACACATTTGAAAGGGTGTAATAGTTTGCCTGCTCTGAAGAGGTCCCACGTTATCAGGCATGCCTGGCATTCACGGCTCTACACAAAGCACTAATGCAGAAAGGACAGTGAATGTCTATTTTCCAGTCGCTACTATACTGTGTTTTGATTTAATCCTGTTGATAAAGTCAACATTATGATATTTAAGCTTGCTGGACTGAAAAAATTTTTTTAAAAAAATCTAATTTTGCTAAGAAAGGCTATTTACACTAAGAGCTTCATATTACAAAATTTAAAATGCAATTCGTTTTTTCTTCGGAATTTTTTTCCCATTTGCAGTTTACTAACACAATTCCTGAGATAAAATGTGGCCACTAAAATGCTCCTTTTAACCCGTTACGTTTCCTACTGGAGGTGGCAGCCAAGAGCCAACCATACCCCTGGGGAAGGATGGGCTTTTCCAGAAGTGGCACAGGCTCTTCTGAGGAATTGCGATTTATAGAACTGAAAGTAAAATGCATTTCAAGAAACACACTGTATCCGTGCGGAATTCACATTTCATTCACATGGGAAATGTCATACTATGGGAAATACAGTCCTCAAGTAAAGTTGTGTTTATCAGAAGTTTGTTTTCCATGCAATAAATTTCAATCAGAGTTGCTAGATTGAAAAAGACATGTCAACCTTATCTTTTAAAAATTACCAGGATTGCACTGCCATTTTATTCCGATGAGAATGAAAAACAAAATTCTCCTTCAGCACTGACACAAACATGACATGCTCATATGAAACACACACGTGAAAACGACACTTTAGAACTGATTTGAGTACTGTCAAAGAGCAATAATGCTAAAAAATCTCCAATGCGTAACAACACGTAATTCAACTCTTGTTATATTATATTCCTGAACAGACCAATTTCGGGACTTCTGCATAACAAATGGCAAAATGATCCTGACCTCTTACAACAGAAATTGTTTTTCTTCCACTTTGTGTCTGGAGGGCCTAAAAGAATGACAACTATGTTCCACACTGTAATTTATGAAGTGTCCTTAATCTACATAATTTATATTATATGGAAGACATGCGACTGCCACACGGAACGGCCTGGATGAATGCTTCATTTATCTGCTCTGCAATGGGTAACAACTGCTTCACTCTGCGTTGCTGCCTTGGTTTTTACCCAGCCCCTAATGGAAAGGGGGGGCTGAGAGATAACGCCTGGGATTGCCCGCTGTGGAATCTCCAAAGGGCCACCCCAAACCATCCGATTATCACTCTGGACACAAGAAGCAGCCAACAGGGAAATTCAGTTTGTTGGATCCCTTTCCATAATTACGTCACGCTTCATGCAAACTGGAAGGTTCAAGAGGTGAAGAGGTCTTGGGAGGAATTTGAACGTTTGCCATCTTATCGTTAGGTAATGACATTTTAATAGTTTAATTAACCATCAGGCAATGAGAAGTCCAGCATGAGAATGGTTGAATGCCTAATTATTAAGTCACGAAACAAGATATGCTGCAGGGAAGGGGAAACAATCCTATTTATTTTGAAGGGGGTCTTGAAAAGGGTTGGGTGACAGGACAAGAGGGAGACTGCCAGTCTTCAAGTGAGTCTATAAGAGGGTCATAAGGTATTTTAAAAAACTCCAAAACTAAATCATAAAAATCTGTACAGTCAAGATAAAAAGAAAATTATAAATAAAAAAGGTTAAATTATAAAAAGTGCTTTTGATATTTAGCTACAAAAAATTCCTGTTGGGAACAAAATCTACAAAAAATATAAAACCATCCTACGACCTTACAGTACAAGTGTTAATACACAGTGTTAACAGTTATGTTGCTCACCTATCCAGAAGAATTTTAAATATGGCGAAACTGTAAAAATAGACAATTCCAGGACTTCTAAGCAACTAGCACCTGCAAGGAGTTCGTGTGAACTTCACACCACCTCGAGGAGTTACACCCGATATTGACGTGACACGGAAACAGCCGCACTACCAACTATTTTTAGCAGTAGAAGGAACAAGTCCCAGTGACACAGTGACACTGGGCCAGCCGAGGAGCTAGCTAAGAAGTTCCCTGTGGGTGCCTCAGCCAACACTGCTCCCTTGCCCAAAAGTCCAAAAAGCTCTGGAACTACTGTGGGGTTTTTTCCCCCCCTCGGTATGAGTAGTGCAAAAGGCTCAAAAGTACCACTTTGAGCCAACTAGCAACGGAGAGTTGTACACGGGTATCACTGAGTAACACACCAACTGCTACCAGATAAAAAGATGACATCTGGTCCTCCACTGATGGCACGGGTAAATTAACTACTTGAAAAACTAAAATCAATCAATCCACCACCAAGCACAACCGAAAAGTAAACCCCGAAGGCTCTCTGTCCCAGAGTTCCCCCAACGGAAACACCACAACTTTTTTTCCTTGTTAGATTACTCGAGGAATGCGTAATGAATTTATCCCATTCTCTTAAGGTGTTGTAGGTGGTTTAAAATACTACAGCAAGTAAAGCCCACTTGCATAAAAGGCTGTTAAGTGTTTGCAAGGTTGCTGGGTATGTGTAGCAGTTTGAAAAATTGCCACTAAAATACTATTACTAATATTTTCCCTTTAAAATACATGCATGTCAGCAATTACATCACATGTACACGTATGTAGCACAGCAGAGGGGAAGGGAGAGAGAATTTATGATGACGCCAGATCCCAGTGCTAGAAGAAACATGAAGGTAAATGGCACCTTGCTGCCTATGGCCCCACGTTCATTTTAACTCCAAGACAACTTGTACGCAGAATTTGACTACAGAAATATCCTCTGCATGGAATAGGGAAGGGAAGGAGAGGGCAGGAACATCACACATAACTATTGTAAAGCCTCATCACTGATGAACAATGTCCTGCCAAGGTGCGGAGAGATGGCTGAAGCCCTGTGGAGATCATCTTCAGAGCATTACAGAACAAAGTACCCAAAGTTGGTTTTGTCTATGAACAAGTATATGGCTGTAGCATGTCTAAAATGTACATCAACTCACCTGTCATAGATGGTGCCAGTTTTCTTTGCCCCTTGTGGTCCACAGTACCTTCATAAGCAACAGTCACATCATACACTGCATCCAGATAGTCCTTCATTGTGTCAATGGCTACATGAGTTGCCTTCACACGCGGCGTCAGCACATGCTTTAATATAGCAAGCCCTAGAGGGGGGAAAAATTAAAAATTGCAGTGTTTGAAAGTAAACTGGACTACATTACAAAACAGACATCGCGCCAAGGAACTTCAGCACCCTCACTCAAAATCACAAAAGGTTTATTTTCAATTTCAGTTCTCGGTTGAGAGGGAGAATGTGCACGTGTGCACACCACAAACGCTCAACTGAGCACATGAAGAAGATGAAGCAGAAATCCTAAAGCACATCAATGACAAAAAGGCTGCTCAACAAGAGTCCTTTTTACAGCTCCTTCTCTAGAAGCAGTGATGGTTTTAGTCTGGCTTATAAATGATGAAACTGCACTTCTTCACTGTTTACATTTTGTCCATCTGAGGTAAAAAAAAAAAAAAAAAGGGGGCAAATTAACTGAGAAATACTAAACACACAGGACATCACCTCCTGAAATTCTGTATCAGAAACAGATTTGCTAGGTCAGTCATAAGCACAGATAATTTTAAGCACGCCTAATGCTCATCTGGCATTTGACTTCTGAAGGACAAATCGATTTGGTCTACATACTTAGTCCCAATACTGCACCATGGTGAAAAAACAGTGGTTGTTTTAAACTTCACATGCTTAAAACAGGGTGTTACATTTCTCCAAAGCTACCAAGCTATCAGACATACCTATACGTTTTGCTATTTTCTACTACAGATTCTAGCTTTCCCTGCTTTTGCTTCCTTCTTCCTCGTGGCACCTTCTGGGCCATTAGATATGGTTACTCTGAGGGTCCTCACTTTGGGGAAGGACAGGGGAAAGCAGTTCCAACAGCTTCTGCCCACTCCAATGACTTCCTGCTATGGAAAAAGGGATGTTCCACTTTATCCTTGCAGTTGTTTCCCTTACTGCTCTTTCCTTGTTCCTGCTGTTAACCTTGTATTGCTCGGGCACCCCTCTCCCACCAGCGGGTTCAAGTCACCATCCCAGCAGAAAACCAAGCAGGGAAAGGGATGTTACAGCGCTGAGGATAGACAGCAAGGAGGAAACTGATCCCCTGCTTCCCTGAAAACAGCACAGGCTCAACAGTATTGCATATCCAGCTGACCACTTCCACCTAGAGCATGCTTAAGAACATATAAATACGCTGGCCCCAAAAGTATCAACTTAATTCTATTTCTAGCCTTTTAACATACAACGGCTTTCAAAATGACAACAAACGACAAAAAAAACCCCAAACCTTTTCATGATTCGAACACAGCTCTTCCACACTTACTTGAAAATGCTTCTAGGGGGAAAAAAAAAGTATTACGCAAAAATTCTCACTATTTTGCTATAAGATGGGTATCTTTCTCAAAAAGAAGTATCCAAATAAAATTCCAATTATTCCTTTCTAGCCTTATTTTTCACTGGCTTAGTCTTCAGTTCATTTTTAAAGAACCATCCATTGTTACCTACTGGTTCCTGATAAAGCAAAAATTTTTCTAAACCAAAGTATTGTGGTATTGCTTTTGATACTTTTCTGCTTGCAAAAGCAATTCAAAAGATACTATATTATGTCCTGATTTTGTACCAAACTTCTCTCCCTTGTTGGGCAAAGCATACTTTGATCTACAATTATGAAAATATCTACTGAACACTGTAAGATAATGCTAATTTCTAAGCTGCTCTATGATGCTTACAGTTGAAAATTTCAGCATAAATCATTATCTTGATTTCTTAATATTTGCTAAAAATTTCCTTGTCTGAACAGAAAGATAAAAGGTTATTTACTAGCACTCCTTCTGAAGTCATTGTTCTCAGCTTTACCGGCAACAGCGATAACTGTCTATGCAAAATGTTATATGGATCATGTAAATATTTTGAAGCATAACATGGTGGCAGTGTTTTCTTAGCTTGTGAACTGCTACATCAAACAGCTAATTATGTTATGTTTCAAAATGTTTGCTGTGTAAATGAAGCACTGAATATTCTAGTGTTGTGTCAGCACCCACATCAGAGTGGACGTTCCACTCAACACAACTCTCGTTGATCTGAATTCCCAAACAAATTCTAAAAACCCCGTCATTCCTCTCCTGCCCAACTCATCTTTTCCCCTTAACCAAACTATTACTGTGGGGGAGAAAAAAGGCAAACAGGTTTTGGTGAGAACCAAATCCTCTAGACAAATTAATGTAGGTATCTAAGACTATTTGGTGCTGAGTTTTTTGAATCCATGGCCAGTTTTGGTGATGAAGATGGTCAGTCACAACCCGTGAAATGCAATTGTAGAATAAGCCCCTCTGAGGCCATGTGCTACCAGTGAACTCTTGAAGGTTTAAGGACAAAATGAGTATGTGCCTAATTAAAATCAATCAAGAAAGTTCACTATTCAGAAACACTCTCCGGTGCATGATAAACATGCAGCGACACCAGGAGTGCAGCACATCCTTTTAAAGAATCCATTTTATAAAAACATGAACCACACATTCTTGCAATTACTTCATGATCTTTGCTAAAATCAACATAACAGAACTTAAACCCAAGCAGTTACTGTATAGTTACCTTGGCAAGCTGCCCGCATCCTGAGAAATACTAAACACACAGGACATCACCTCCTGAAATTCTGTATCAGAAACAGATTTGCTAGGTCAGTCATAAGCACAGATAATTTTAAGCACGCCTAATGCTCATCTGGCATTTGACTTCTGAAGGACAAATCGATTTGGTCTACATACTTAGTCCCAATACTGCACCATGGTGAAAAAACAGTGGTTGTTTTAAACTTCACATGCTTAAAACAGGGTGTTACATTTCTCCAAAGCTACCAAGCTATCAGACATACCTATACGTTTTGCTATTTTCTACTACAGATTCTAGCTTTCCCTGCTTTTGCTTCCTTCTTCCTCGTGGCACCTTCTGGGCCATTAGATATGGTTACTCTGAGGGTCCTCACTTTGGGGAAGGACAGGGGAAAGCAGTTCCAACAGCTTCTGCCCACTCCAATGACTTCCTGCTATGGAAAAAGGGATGTTCCACTTTATCCTTGCAGTTGTTTCCCTTACTGCTCTTTCCTTGTTCCTGCTGTTAACCTTGTATTGCTCGGGCACCCCTCTCCCACCAGCGGGTTCAAGTCACCATCCCAGCAGAAAACCAAGCAGGGAAAGGGATGTTACAGCGCTGAGGATAGACAGCAAGGAGGAAACTGATCCCCTGCTTCCCTGAAAACAGCACAGGCTCAACAGTATTGCATATCCAGCTGACCACTTCCACCTAGAGCATGCTTAAGAACATATAAATACGCTGGCCCCAAAAGTATCAACTTAATTCTATTTCTAGCCTTTTAACATACAACGGCTTTCAAAATGACAACAAACGACAAAAAAAACCCCAAACCTTTTCATGATTCGAACACAGCTCTTCCACACTTACTTGAAAATGCTTCTATGGGGAAAAAAAATGTATTACGCAAAAATTCTCACTATTTTGCTATAAGATGGGTATCTTTCTCAAAAAGAAGTATCCAAATAAAATTCCAATTATTCCTTTCTAGCCTTATTTTTCACTGGCTTAGTCTTCAGTTCATTTTTAAAGAACCATCCATTGTTACCTACCAGGCCATTTTTAAAGAACCATCCATTGTTACCTACTGGTTCCTGATAAAGCAAAAATTTTTCTAAACCAAAGTATTGTGGTATTGCTTTTGATACTTTTCTGCTTGCAAAAGCAATTCAAAAGATACTATATTATGTCCTGATTTTGTACCAAACTTCTCTCCCTTGTTGGGCAATTGATCTACAATTATGAAAATATCTACTGAACACTGTAAGATAATGCTAATTTCTAAGCTGCTCTACGATGCTTACAGTTGAAAATTTCAGCATAAATCATTATCTTGATTTCTTAATATTTGCTAAAAATTTCCTTGTCTGAACACAAAGATAAAAGGTTATTTACTAGCACTCCTTCTGAAGTCATTGTTCTCAGCTTTACCGGCAACAGCGATAACTGTCTATGCAAAATGTTATATGGATCATGTAAATATTTTGAAGCATAACATGGTGGCAGTGTTTTCTTAGCTTGTGAACTGCTACATCAAACAGCTAATTATGTTATGTTTCAAAATGTTTGCTGTGTAAATGAAGCACTGAATATTCTAGTGTTGTGTCAGCACCCACATCAGAGTGGACACTCCACTCAACACAACTCGCGTTGATCTGAATTCCCAAACGTATTCTAAAAACCCCATCATTCCTCTCCTGCCCAACTCCTCTTTTCCCCTTAACCAAACTATTACTGTGGGGGAGAAAAAAGGCAAACAGGTTTTGGTGAGAACCGAATCCTCTAGAGAAATTAATTTAGGTATCTAAGACTATTTGGTGCTGAGTTTTTTGAATCCATGGCCAGTTTTGGTGATGAAGATGGTCAGTCACAACCCGTGAAATGCAATTGTAGAATAAGCCCCTCTGAGGCCATGTGCTACCAGTGAACTCTTGAAGGTTTAAGGACAAAATGAGTATGTGCCTAATTAAAATCAATCAAGAAAGTTCACTATTCAGAAACACTCTCCGGTGCATGATAAACATGCAGCAACACCAGGAGCGCAGCACATCCTTTTAAAGAATCCATTTTATAAAAACATGAACCACACATTCTTGCAATTACTTCATGATCTTTGCTAAAATCAACATAACAGAACTTAAACCCAAGCAGTTACTGTATAGTTACCTTGGCAAGCTGCCCGCATCCAGCTCACAAAACACGCTGTGCTTAAACTGTTTTTAATGTTGTGCAATACTAAGTTAGGACTCTCTGTCAAAGTATTTAAGGTCATGAGATTTTATTTTAAATGCCAAAGAAAACGAACTAGATTTCTAATAATGTAATACTCTACCTTAACATGCTATAGGCTTTGCTCTTCTGTTACCTAACTTTTATATGGTAAACAAACCTTAAAAAAAATATGAAAGCAATGTGAAAATCTGAAGAAATACAGTGAGCAAGGGTACTTGAAATATCTGCTGTTCGCTAGACTGCAGTAAGATGCAGAATTTCTTCAGAAAGTCTGCA